CTGTGTCCTGCCTGCTCGCTGGCTTGGGGTCTCAGTGGTGGACAGCACGCGGGTAGCGGCTGGCGGCGGGGACCTCCCCTCCCCCCTTGCACGGCCCGGGGGTAGCGCCTGCCGCAGGTGACCTCACCTCCCTCGTTACGCAGGGCATGTGTGGGCCAGTGCTGCCCCTTCCCAGGTGCCCTCCCAGACTTAGCACGCTGACAGACCAGTACGTGTGGGAGCGCTGGGAGCCGTGAGGACACCGCAGCATGGCTTAGACATCTCCAGAAGGAAGGGCCGGCAGGTGGCATGGAGGTTAAGATGGCGGATCCCACACAGCTGACTTTACGGTTTGTGCCCCAAACCCAGTGGCTAGAAAATCACACCAGACTCGTTTGTGCCTGCCCAAAGTCCCAAGAGGAAAGTGGAAGAGACGGGATTGTGGTGGCCATCCTCTTTGGGAGTGACTTCTCACTTTCCTGTCTCTCTATATCTCTCTCTGTCTCTGGTGAGCATACTCATGGCAAAACTAAAAAGAAGTGTCTGGAAAACAGCTGGTGAGAAATCCTTATTAAAGTCCTACGCTCAGTACTCCTACGACTCATTAATAAGAGGGTGACAACACAGTTAAAATGGGGCAAAAAATCCCCAGAGGATAATGAAGAAAAGGGATTTGGAGAGGAGGGGTGTGATTTCTCACTTTCTGTCTGTCTGTCTGTCTCTGTCAGTCTTTCTGGTGAGTGCACACACCTTATAGCAATGATCTCTCGGGGGAAAAAATGGGCGAAATGAAAATGGGCATTTTACCAGAAAAGATACAGGAAAGGTTAAGAAGCATGTGAAAATAGAGATCGCCATTATTAGTCATTAGGGAAATGAGATCCAAACCACAGTGAGGTACCGCTTCATGCCACGCTGGTGGCTGCAGTCCCCAAGGCGGAACGAGCCGTGCATGGATTGAGCAGCCGGGGCCCCGACAGCCTGGCGAGGGCGTGGGCTGGTGCGGCCCTGGCCGAATAGTTGGCAGCTCCTTAGAACATCTGCAGCCCCCCCAAGACCGCAGCCCACTCCTCAGTGTCTATGCCTGAGACGGCAGCCCCACTGTTAGTGGCCCAGGGCGTGTGTCCACTGGCACATGAATAACAAAACTGCAGAGGGAGCTCTGTTCGGTAGTGAAGAGTCAAAGTAACAAATTACTGAGGCATGGTACAGTAAGGATGACCCTCTAAAATAAGCTGAGAACAGTAAGCCACGTCTGTGGGCCAGCAGATGGCGTGGTGGCTAAGGCACTGGATTCCCATGTGGCCTACCGCAGTTCAAGGCTTGGGCCTGGTGGCTTGAGAGTCACACCAGACACATGCATGTGCGTGCCCAGGATCCCAGGAGGAGATTGGAGGAGAGGGAATTGTGGCGAGGCCGTCTCCTCACTTTCCCTTTCTGTCTTTGTCTTTCTGGTCAACACATTTGCCCTGTGGCAAAAACCTATATTTTAAAAAAAGAGAAGGGACATCTGTAAAGGTACATCTGTAAGTCCATTTTATATAAAAAGCCCAGAAAAAGCAAAGTTACAAAGATAAGGAACATATTAGTGGGGGCCGTGAAGCCACAGTGAGGATGAGGGAGGATTAACTGTAAATGAGGAGGGGTCTCACTGGAATGATGAAAACAGTTTAAAACTGTGTTAAACTTGACTGGTAAATTTAGAAAAAGTCATTTAATTGTACACTTTAAAGAAGTGTTTTTTCAGTCCTGTGAGCTGGGATAGAAAACCGTGGTGGGGGAGGGGCAGCAGGTGGCATGGTAGTTAAGGCACTGGACTCCCCCATGGGCAACCACAGTTCAAGTCCTGAACCTGGTGACTTGCTTTCTCACTTCCCCTCCCTCCCTCCCTCCCTCCTTCTCTCTCTCTCTCTCTCTCTTCATGTGACTATTGAGTACACCTGCCCTATAGCAAATTTTTAAAGTTGTATTTATAATAATAATAAATGAATGAATCCTTAAAAAAAAAAAAAAAGTAAGAGAAAAGGACCATGGGAAAGTTACCCACGTTGGAAATGAAGAAACGAGTTGGGATTATGCTTTCGTAGGAGTCAGAAGCAGCCTTTCCTGTGTCCTCAGTAGTGTGTGGCTGTGGGGAGAGGGTAGACAGGCCTGCAGCCTCGGATCCATGGAGGAACAAAGGGGCGCAGGCCGGGGCGGCTGCCCACGGAGTCCCAGCAGCCAGTTATGCCTCTGCTTCTTTCTCTGTGACATGGGAATGCTAGTGTTTTATACGGTGCTTATGAGGGTTAACTGACTCCGTCCACATAGCCCAGTGACACACGTATTGTAAACACTAGTACCTTTTCACCTCTTCATAGCCATCTTCCTATTTCTGGTCTCTTCCCACCTCTGGCCTTTATAGGCTGAACCG